AACATGGTATTTAGGTTATAGTGTGATATTTAGATTTAAGTGTAACATCTAGATTATAGTGTGATATTTAGATTATAGTGTGGTATTTAGATTATAACGTGATATTCAGACTATAGCATGGTATTTAGATTATTGAAAATAACACCATGAAAATAACACCATGAAATGAAGTATATTCATTGCACATGGGATTCCAAGCTATCCACAGCCAATGAACATTCCTTAGCGAAATCCACAAGATTTGACGCTACGAGGAAGGCACGGCCATTAACCTTCCCTCTGCGAATTATTTCTAAGTCATCCATAAGTCCTGTTCTGAAAAAATTTATTCATTTTTAGTAACGTAGTAAAATATTGAGCTTTATTTTATTATAAAATAGTTTACAATTTGTATAATAATTTAATAAATAATTGAAATATTTATTGTATTAATATTAGAAAGAAAAATCTTGTGATTTACCTTATCTTTTAAAAATTGCCTTAATTTATATATGGTACAAAATCAAATAGAATCAAATTAACTAATATGCTTTTTTCTTTACCGCTAAATAAAATTGCTTGAGCAGATATAAAAAATAATAGAATTATATAATATTAGTTTTTATTACTTAAACTACTTAAAATACTTGAGATTTACAGAAGGTTTTTTGCAAAAAAAATACTGTACACACTTGATTTTTTAACCTTATAACACAAATACCACAGCTTACCTAAAGTAAACGTAAAGTTATTTTGTAGGTATGAGACTATTCAAATATTAACTTTCATCAAGTTAGTTTAAATACTTATAAAGTTTTACTTATTTTTTATTATATTATTGTACAGAAATTTGTTTAAATAAAATTAACTTTTGTTAAATAAGTAAAGTCATTAAATGGATATGAAAGTATTCAAAGCAATCACTATTAATAGAGTTAATTAACACTTTTTATAATAAAATTACTGTGTATAACTGTATATATGGGTCTTTATATATATGTATGTTTATTAAAATTTAATAAAATTATAAATTAAAATATTTTTTTACTCTTTAATAGTATTTTTTTTGATTATTCTTTTCTGACAAAGATACATAAATTTGTATGCATATTTGTGCAATTTTGGAATGAGTCAATTAACGTATCTAATTTGACCATATAAAATTTATATAAAATTGACGTATCTATACCTGGGAAGTTGGATTAGACATAATACAGCTTTCAGATACATATTTATTCATACAGTAGTTTCTTTCAATGTCATTAAAGAAAAAGGAAGTCTTACCTAAATTAATAATATTAATAATACCAAAATACCTTTATACCCTATTAAAAATTTTTGAAGAAACCAACTTCCAAATTGGGGTATAGAAAAAGTAGGATCACTTCTTTATAAAAAGAATCCTGATGCGACATTACACATGTCTCATTAGTATTGACCAACTAGACTTATAAAACTGGACTATTGGACTTATAATTCTAGTAATTGGACTTATAGTTCAAATTCTATCAAAAATAACTGGGCTTATAAAGGTGGCTAATACTGGTTACATCTGTAAATTCTCCATCAAAGCTACAAAATTAAAAAATTTTGATAGAGAACAATGAATAGCTCAAATTTATTGTCATTAATCTTCAGACGATCAGTTAGTAATAAAGATAATAGAAAAGCTATTTGGATTCATTTCTAAGCGAAGCCCTTAAATTGAATTTTAATTTAATAAAACTTATAGATAGATTGTTTATTGCAAAATAATAATTATTTAGTTGTAATTCATGAAGTAAAATAAGATAGGCTTAGGTATTTTGCAGACATTCTTTTCATATTTTAAATTCAGGTAATTATATATGTAATTTACTAGTTATTTGAATTTATATAAATTTTTTATTTATAATAATACTTTAAAATAATAGTTCAATTATCATGTATACTGATGACTCATTGCGTTTACTAAAAGTACAATAGGTCTTGGCTGGATTTACATTAATGCATCAAAATCTATCATCAATTTAATGTTTCACTAGAATTTAGGATTGGATTTGAACATGGAATATAGGATATAGGATAAAGGATATAGGATTTTTAATATGGTATAGGATTTGGGATTCTATAGTATAAGGTATGGTAGCAACTATAAGTAGACTCTTTCAGTTACTAAAACTTGTTATATCAGATTTAAAAAATATTTATCAATCTAGTTTTTTACTAATAAGCTTTTAATTATATCAAAAAATTTTTTCATTTATTATAACTTTTTAGGAAGCAATGAAATTGTATATGAAAATTAGTTAACAAATCAATATATTTTGTAAGAATTAAAGGTAAAATTCAAAAGCTTATAGTAAAGATTACTGATAAATATAATGAAATTATATATAATTTATATATTAGTAAATATTTAACACTAAAATTATTCAGTATTAATAAAAATACAATTTATAAATAAATTATAATTGTTATGTAATTTCTTAAAGAAGCAAAGCAGTTTATTATATAATACTTTTTTTATTTGTATTATTTCTTTTACTAGATAAGTAAAGTTTTTTTTTCTTATTAATTAGTTTTATTAATTCTAAAAAAAATAAAATAAAAAAATAAAATAAATAAATAAAAACAAAATTCTAATCTAATTTGTCATTTTTTTTTAAAAATGAATTAAGTAAAAAAAGATTTTATAAATATATATAAACTTATATATATAACCTAAACTATTTTATTAATATTAAAAGTTAAAAATAAATACAGTTAGACTTCTATATAGTCATATTCCATACTGTTACACCTTTTTATAGGCATCTAATTTTGTAAAACAGATTTTAATATTATTTAATTACCTTTCTATAATCACAAATCAGATATAGTCACTATTATCTTATGACTCATAACGTATATATCATATTTATTAGTAATTAGACCTCTTTATAATCACAAATTTCTGATTAGTTTATTAAATAAGTTATTAAAATCTGCAAGTTCACAAAAGATATAATGGTAAAATAGTTTAAAAATGTAATAATTTAAAATGTAACACTTAAAATGTAATATTTAAATGTAATACGATAAAAAAGAACATAATTATAAAATATAACGCTTAGAAAATCATCAAATTTCAGTATTTTCTTGTAATAATTTTTATTACATTTTTTTCATATTCATTCAGAGAATTTCATATGGTTAGTTTTCCCACATCAAGTATTAGCTATAATGCTACAAATCCTAAAATATCATTGTAACTTTATAAAAAGCTTCTTTAAAAAATCTTTTCAAAAAAACTTTTTTGTTTGACTAGTTTTTTATAATATTCAAACAATATTGTTCAGCTATAAGTGCTAATCTTAAACATCAAATTTGTGAATAGGTAAAAAACAATAATAATAAAAAATATTTTGAAATTGCAACATATTTTAATGAAAAAACCTTACTTTAAATATTGATTATAGCATTATATTAAAAATATTAGCACAAAATGAAAAATAAAATTCTATATTAGAACCTTTAGGTTCTAAAGAAATTTTTAGAAATAAGAAGGTCAAATTTCTAACATTTGATTATGCTATGAATTTATAGATAGAAAATATAATGGCAAGTGGTATTATCTTAACAGATTTATTAATAAAAGAAAAGGCAAAGTTTTTTATTAATACATTTAATATACAAGAAATGAGTTGGTTTTCTCTAATGGTTAGTTACATAAATTTAAAAAATATAATAATATTTATAAGTATCATATGTATAGAGAGTTATAAAATGCACCATTAGCATCTCTTCTAGAAGAATGAAAAAAGTTACAATTACTTTTAAATTGATATACTCTCGATCGAATTTATAATATTGATAAAATAGTAAGACTTTAATATACTTTTTATATTATATGCATTAATATAGTATTTAATTTACTATTACTAAAAATAATATTAAAGGGTCTTTTTATTAAATATTATCTAACCAAATACTTTTTACTAAACTTGTTTCTGGTCAGAAGAAAGATAAATCAATAATTACAGTCTTTCTTGGTATTAATATAACAGGAATAGATAAGCTTAAACTATAGGTAATTGATAATGCAAAACGTCTAAGACCTCTTTCAAAAATTAACTTAGAATATTTTCCAATCTATTATTGTAAAAATTCAAAAGTATAAATGAACTCTTTGATTTTTGAAGAGATGCTTTGTGAAATGGATAGTTATTTTAGAATGCAAAATAAAAAATTTTTGCTTTTAATTGATAATGCACTATTACATTTCAATTCACATTATTTACTAACTTTAGAAATTGAATAAGAAGATTAAAATGAGTCTAATGAAAATAATACTGATAAAGAAATAGAATCTACATCAATATTTGATAAGTTATTTTTTAAATTTAAAATTTATTTAAATTAATAATTAATAAATATTTATTAAATTATTTTTTTTTTAAAAAGATTAAGATTATGGTAGTAGATCAAAAGGTTATAGTGGTAAATCAAAAGGTCACAGTGATAGATCAAAAGGTCACAGTAGTAGATCAAAAGATTGTGATAGTAGATCAAAAGGTCATGATGATGGATCAAAGATTATAGTAGTAGATCAAAAGATCATGGTAATAGATCAAAAGATTGTAGTGATAAATCGAGAAGTCATGATGAACATCAACTTCAACTTACACATATTAAAATAGCTTTCTTATCTCCTAATACTACAAGTTATCTTCAACCGCTTGATGCTGAAATTATTGCAAACTTTAAAAGTTATTTCAAAAGAAAATATTGTTATCATATGTTAGATCTCTTTGAAGATAAAAAAGATATTAACAAAGAGAAAATTAATATTAAAGAAGCAATAAACTATATTGTAGATATATGAAATTATGTAACTGAAAAAACAATATAGAATTGTTCGAAAAAAACTGGAATTTTACCTTCTTTAACTAATGAAAATATAGATGATACAATGCAAACTCAATAAGAGAAAAATGATAAAGAAGAAATAGATATTAATCTAATAATTAATGAACTTGATATGGATGATCTACATGCTGCTTTATTGGCAGATATATTAAATAATTTCTTTAATAATTTAGAAGAAATTCTGACTGAGAATATTTTAAATGAAAATAATATTATAAAACTTATTCAAAATGAAACACTTAATGAAAATAAAAATAGCGACTCTGAAGAAAAACAGTTATTAGTACTTTTGAGCGATATTCTCAAATCTTTACAAATATGGATTACATTTTTTGAACAATAATAAACAGATGAATTCTGTGTAGAGGATATAAATATCTTAAACAAGTATTTTAAAATAGTTAGATAGCTTGAATTGCAATCTTAAAAGCAAGTT